AAAAATGACAGTTTTTGTGAGAATGACCCAGATATCCACGTGTTTTGCTTCCTTAACGTGTCCCACAGTGGAAAATATCACTAGTGTTCCCAGTTGAACACCGAAGTCAAGCATCACTGGCTGCTGTCAGTAAGCGGTTGAGTGATCACTTTGATCAGCCTACGTAGGGACCAAGGGTGTGCCGTATCGGTTCTCGTTAAACTGTTCTACCGTCAAGTGTACCGACTTCACACGCAGGTCGTCGGGCTACCAAAGCAGGCATGCCATACCCTCTGCAGAATCAAAATTGCAATGGCAATCATTCTTAGGGATATTTCCCAGACCATCACCAATAGCCCATTGTGCAGCTCTAGTGCGACATAAATAGAGTACTACCTACTTTAACGTGTTTCAAGTCTCTTACCTAATTTTTAACTTCTTCCCCTTTTTCAGAACAGTTAGAGATAGAAATGAAGCACCATACGGGATCAAAAATACAAATCCAGTATTCTCTGTTTGTGGGCGACGAGAAAGATATCATTCATACCATCCATTTGAAAGTGCCCTCGACTTTCACGGCTTTCCAAGTGATGCAGTCAGCAGAAGTGGAAGATCCTAAGTACAAGTGAGTAACGTATGTACATACTGGACAACATGATGACTGTTCGGAATCGTTATAACAGGAATAAAACAGCAATACTTATAATTTAAATTCATAAAACATTTGTATTAAGGGCGGTAAAATGAAAACACACTACAAATTGAATTGAATTTGTCTTGACACTGAAATTATGACATTTGTTTCATGCAGAAGTAAATGATATAAAGTTTTAATACATTTATTCCACTTCGAGACAAGCCCACCTCTTCCAACCCTGTAGAACAAGGTTGATCGCTGACGGATCCACGCTATCATCGCTATTGTTTTGCATCGTCCGAATGAAACCGATTTACACGAATGTCTTTTTTTCAGGTCATAAAATTTTAAAGTTACAAAATGAAAGATCTGGTTACTACGGTGGCTGTTGAAGTATTTTTCAACACAATTTTTGAGATTTACAGCGTTTTCCCGTATGATACCAACAATCCCTAGGAAACTATCATCCGATCTAATGGCTCAAATGGTCTATCCATCAGATGTGCATCTTACGAGGAATTTTTCTGCCACCTGTCCACGCATGTCAGGGTTATTTAGCAAACATGTGACGCGTTCAGTCACCAAGAAATGGACCAGACTTCTATGTTTATCTCTGATCACCACCATTTCCAGTGATGAACAAAAACAGTCAGCAGAGAAAACTGTGTGCGTTTTCACTATGCATATTTTCTAGCTTACAGTAATGATACGTAACAGTGTTGTAGAGAAATGTGTTTATGGTGAATGTTCAGTTTTTATTCCCTCATTTTTAAGTACCAGATGTTACGTAACGTTTAAAGAAGAATACACTCACAAAACAATCAGAACTAACTATGATCAATCCTTGTCGAGGTTAAGAAGAACAGGTATGGTGTTAAAATCTTTTAAATATTATTTATTTAGACAGGTTTGATATGGATTTTTTTCTTCTAATTCCTAATGTAAAACAATGTGCACAGTTTTGTATGACGGCATCAATTTCACAGCTACTGAAAATATAATATACAAATAGAAATTTTATGTCCGTTCTCCCTCCAAGGAAATTTCGATTTCTTTCTTTTTTGCAAGCTGATAATTAGATAAATTTTCACTTAAATGACGTGCAAAATATTTTTTAGAAATGCATAGAGGCTAAAAAATATGTCACAAATTGTTTGAAATGTAAAGCAAATGGAATAAAAAAGATCAATAAAATAAAACAATACAAAATGTAAATATCTTTTCTAAAACTATCAACCTCAAATATTTTTTTTGTTACGTATTCTTTCAATTGAGTTATTATCCCGTAATTTCGTATTTATGAAAATTGTAACAGATAAGCTTCTCTAACGAACTGGTAGAGACAGGCGGAATGCCAATGTGCACCAGTTTCTGCTCCAATGCAATTGAAATTTAAGTAAGCAACAGATCTTTATCCGTACTTTTATTATATGATTTAAAAAAAAAAGCTTTGTTGCAATGCTAACATGCGAAACCCATACTCAAACAGTAAAGCAAATTTATACGCATACACAAATTGTTCAGCAAAGAAAACTTATTATATAGTTGTTATCTCGTATTGAATTAATTGGTTTCTACCTATCGTATAACTTCCCGATTAAAAATAATTAGCATTTTTGTTCTAGATTCCAATGGAAAAAAGTTTTTGATAAAATTGATGTGTACAAAGTTGCTCAAATATCGAACGATCCTGAAATTGGAAAATTTTGGCTGTTGTTTCATGGCACAGGAAAAACAGATGTTCTCAATCATTCTTTCACAAGTAATAGGAAAGTTTTTATAAACTAGATTTATTAACTAACCTAGAAGTAAAATACAATTCCCATTGAACGCATACGCATATACTGTTTGCATATGTAGTCAAGTAGAAACTAATTTTACATATGTTTCCTACTAATTTATTCCCATCATTTCACAATTTTTACGTTCGTATAGTTATGTTTTAATAATTCTATCAGTGTTCCACAGCATTTTTAAACGCTTATTGTGATTCTGGCAAACAATAAGTCTACTCTACATTAAACGATTACGCCGAATTTTAATTCTTTCCCAAGTACATTGTTACATATTATAGTAACTACAAGTGCGTGGATAAAATATTATAAAATATAAGGAGTATAAGCATATATAAAAAAAATTAAATTCGCTGGATCTCTATTTGTTTTTTTTAAGTTTGTGAAGCATAGATATGGTTAAGAAAGTATTAAATAGATTAGGTCGATCGTGAATTTGTCATCGAATTCAAATTATCATCAAATTACAGATATATTACAATATCGATTCACTATCTGCATATATTTATTTTTTATAACATTCGTTGAACAGCCGACCCCAATTTTGGGTCTTCAGCTACCAATGTTCAACTCCGTAGACTTGTGGTTTAGAACCCAATCCAGAAGACAAGGCTGAATCAAGTAATGAGAGAAACTTTGTCTTCATAGGGGACTTTTTGATAGAACTAGCCCGCTTTTGCTTTGCACGGAGAAAAAAAATCCACGAAAACCTCCCTCGGCTAGCCTGATGGAGAGGGAACTCCAACCCATGCTCCCTCTATAACTGACGTCAGCGCTGTGGTCGGTAGGAGTTGGGTGTGGGATTCGTATCGGCCTGTCAACGGTGGGATTCGAACCCAGATCAACTGATTGGGAGACGAGCGCTATATCTCCTAAGCCCTTCCCCCGACCTCATGATGAATCATTGTCATTTCAAATGTTAAAACTTTATAACAAAAAAAATTATTATGAAAAGGATAAAATAGAATAGAGGTTCTCAAATGGTGTTCCGTAGAACCTTAATGGTTCATTGAAACTGTTTAAAGTGTTCCGAGAGTTAGAATATTTTTCTAACCCCTCAAAGATCTTTGAACTTTTAATTATATTTAAATATAAATAATAAGAAATTCCTTATTTAATATTTCTGTTGAATGGTTGTCTCTGTGAAATTAATTAAATTATAATGCCAATAAAAAAGAAATGACACCTTTCTAAAAAAGGAAATGTATAATTTTATTTATAACAATATATTGAATAAATTCTGAAAAAGACATGTATTTAAAAAAATTGCTCTCATATTTTCCACCGGGCTTTTCAAATCAAATTAAATTAACTAAATTTGCTAATAAAGAAATATGTTTCCTTAGTTGTAGGACATAAAATCTAATTTAAGATTGTTGATGATTGAATGATGAAAACAAATTATTCCTCTTATTTTACTTTATATTTCATAACTGTACACGTCCCAATTCTGAGTTTACGACCACCATCCGTAGTCTTGTAATTTAAAACCCAACACGGAAAACAAAGAAACTAATAGGTCAAGCACTGGGACATTCTAGTCTTTATGGAGGACTTGTTGATGAAATTAACTCGGATTTGTGTTACACGGAGGGGAAAACTTCGAAAACCTCCTAAAATTAGCTCCATGTTCAGGGGATTCTAATCCATGATCCGTCTGAGGATTATGTCAGCACTATGGTCGGTACGAGCCGGTAGCGGAATTTGTATCAACTAGCCACCGCTAGGATTCGAATCTGTGTCATCTCATTGGTAGGCGAACACTCCATTCCCGGAGCTATCAAGGCTTAAATTAAAATGCTATATTATTGTTGAATACTTTCACAACTATTTTTATATACTTACTTTTAAATGAAGTAGGGGTTACGCGAAAGAAATTTGATCATTTAGGGTTCCATCGCCGAAAGAAGTAGAGAAACGCTGAAATAGATGTTTCTACTTTCTGTCTCTCTCTNNACCGGCCAAGTGGCCGAGCGGTTAGCGTGCCTGACTGCGGAGCCAGTAGCTGCGGGTTCGAATCCCGCTCTGGGCATGGATGTTTCTTTCTCTCTCTTTGTGTTCTATGCCCTTTCTCCTTTGTGTGTGAATGTGTGAGTGCGATCCGCCCTATAAACGTGTTTGTGGTTGTGTGACGTGGCCGACGCTGCTCCACAGCCTTGGCTTCGCCACAGCTGCCCAGTGGGTAAACGAGAAGAAGGTAGCAGTTCTGGCACTTTCTGAGGCTAATGGACAATAGTTCCAAGTGTCCACCATTAAAAAAAATAATAAATAAATAAATAAAAACTTTCTCTTTTTTTTCAAGTAAGGCAAAATCATTAGTTTTTTTTAAATTTATATAGAATTTATTTTGTCCCACATCCTTTGAAGATTATTTTCTTAGTTTACATCTGTAGAAATTCTTTTTCTTCAAGACTACATTGGATACGGGATTTCAATTTTTACTTATTTCTTACAGCATTTCTCAATTCTTTATATGGAAATCAATTTTAAAGCAATTGAATGGAAAAATCTGGTAATATGCATTTGAAATGTTTAGTTTTTAATTCAATTTCAACTACTGGTTTTAAAAATTTCTCAATTCTTTAAATGTAAATCAATTTTAAAGCAATTGAATGGAAAAATCTGGTAATATGCATTTGAAATGTTTAGTTTTTAATCCAATTTCAACTCCTATTTTTAAGCATTTCTCAATTCTTGAAATTTCACTCAACGTCATGAAAAATCTGGTATAAATTAACTTAAAGTTTTTGTTATTGGTTTTTAATCCTTTGGAATCCGATTTATTTAAATACCAGACAAAGAGGCAATAACCGAATTAAAAACTGGTATTAAGTTTTTGATTAAAAATAATTGATTTGTTTTATTTCGTCGATTAGTAACAAATAAAAAATTTTCCTTCCTTCATTTATAAGAAGTGGTATCCGTAAATGCATCATTTCTTTTTAATATCGGAAGATAGAAACATACTTTTATTTATTTGAAATAAATGCCTGATGAGCATATAATTGAATAAAGAATAATAAAGAAATTTCGTGTCATATAGTGACGCGGCAAGTATATACGGGTGACGAAAATGATCGTCATAGGTAATTAGTAATAATTATTATTCATTTTTCTAGGTCCAGATAAACTCAAACTGGAAGAGGGTAGTCATCTTGTTCTATGGTATAAAAGTGTAGATGTCTGATGCAAATCTGCTACAACACAAAAAAATATTTTTCTAGGATTGCACAGTAAAAAAAAATCACAGCAAAAGGAAGACAATAATGTAGTGAATTGGTTTTGTCTTCTAAAATTAGC